GCATTCAGGAGCCTGCAGCCTATTTCTGACTTTTCATTTTTTTAAAACGGTACTTAGGCTGCTAAGTCATTTCGGCACTTTTAACAGTTTTACCCACAAGTAGCTTGCTGTGAATTTTTAGAGAAGCTGAATTGCCTGGAAATATGCAAATAGCAATTCCAGCAGAAATATGTTTAGCACAGCTCCGACTGGCTTGGCTGGAGAGGAGTTTGTTTTTAGCTCCCGTGATAGAATGGTTGTTGCCTACGGGCCATGCAGATGTCGGTGTAAATCTTGATTGTGGTAATTTATAGGATGCACACAGAGCAAATGCTTTAGCCAGCATATGGGGAACTTAGCCTTTTGGTTAAATTGGCTGTTATAAAGGCTGTGTTGGCAGAGCCAACATATTGAGAATCATCTCCGTTAATATGCTATTATTATTTATAGATCATTAGAATGGACTGCAAGAGGACATTATATAGATTTTTATCTGGATGTAAGGGTTGTGGCTTTAAACCAGTATCCAGGAAGCCTGCCTGAGATTGTTGTTCTACTTGTCACACTGACATTGTGAAAGGAGATGTTGCTTACTTCCTAAAAATCTCACCTGGCCTTTGCTAACCTCAGGTTTCTGATCTGTTTTCCTGACTGTCCAAAGCAAATCAGGCCTGAAATAAATAATGTACTCAGGCAAGTAGAGGGAATCCAGAAGCTGCTTTCTCATGCTTCTCATTCTATTTTTTCCACTTGTCCCCCAATCAACTACCCATATTAATGGTGTGTGTGTGTGTGTGTCAATGCAGGAAGAAGTGGGAAAGAATGGAAGAGCAGGAGAATGGGGAGCCCTCCAATGGGGAATGGGTCAATTAGCAGTGGGGTGAAGGGAAGGAAATAGGAATTCTTTATCGGGGTGACTAGCATAGGAGAGGGGCTAAGCTAGAAGCCAACTGTCAGAAAGAGCCATTGGAGGTGAATACACTTATGGTAGGGAAAAGAAGAAAGGTGAAAATATTAGAGGGGTGAAAACCCATCCCAGAGGCTGACATCTTAGGAACAAGTTAAGGGACAGGGGACCTACCAGACAGGGAGACATATTGTATAGGGATAGAGGGAAGGAAGGGAGAGATACCATAACAAGTGCAGTGTGAGAGGACATCACTGAAGAGAAGGAGGAAAATCTCAGGTTAGGAGAAGACAGAAGAAGCAGGAAAGGTCCACAGAGGTGGTTGGGGGAGACAGTTGGGGATAGTAAAATCGACTCTTTTGTATACTGCTTTGAGATGTACTGATGAAAGAAATCAAAGAAGATGAGGTCTACTGATAAGAGGTAGATATTTTTATAAATGAAAATGTTTTATTAAGTGTCCATATCTGTGTGTGCACTTATTTGTTATGTTCTGGGGTCCACACAGACCAGTAAGGGATGTTTAGAGGTTATGGTTCAATTCACTGACACCAGTAGCTTGCCCACAAGCATATAGTCTCAACCTGCTTCCCACCCATCTGCTTACTCTTTGTAGGTGATACTAATAACCTTCCCAGTCCTGGGTCTCCCAAATTCATCCTTTATCACCCTCAACGGTTTGAAACCAGACTGCCACTTACTAGCTCACTTTAGCATATGTGCTCCATGCTGTGCACTGGAGACAGTCACAGTACAAAAATAAACAAGTTATTTATTAGAAAAATCACTAATCCAGAGATAAAATAGTAAGGAAAAGTAAAAAATATACAACCTACACAGAAGACGAAGACATAATTTCAGGTTTTATATTTTCAGATTAGATTAAATCCTTTTTTCTGATTAGTGTTACCCGATCGTGTTAAAACAGTTTCCTAGCATAGCTCCTAGCTATCGAAAGAATCCAGCATTCCTCGAAGGCAGGGCAGAGATGGGGCAATAGCATGTAACAATGATTTAACGTTACCTGAACTTCTGATTTCCTACAATTCTGAATCAAAAGACATTGTAGGTTGAAATTGTACTGTTATATCTGATGAGGACTTATTGAACTAAAATGTAGGTAATATAGTATAGTACTTGTTTTATTACTCTTGTGTAGTCCTGAACAAAACCTCTTATGTTCAATGGGAAATTCCAGTAGGCAAAAGTTTCTGCTCTACTAATGATAATTTCTGAGGGTACATCTCTACTACAGGACAAAGGCGAATTAGGATATCAACTTCAGCTACATTACTTGTGTAGCTGAAGTCAAAACATCTTAACTTGGCTTTTGGTACTGCCTACACTGAAGGAAGTTGAAGGGAGAACACTCTCTTCGACTTCCCTTGCTCCTTGTGAAAGCAGGACTACCAACATCGGCTGGAGTGCCCCTTGCAGTTCGAATTAGCTGTCTTAACTAGACCGCGAATTCAAACTCTGGAAGATCAACAGCAGCAGCTTCGATCCTCCTCTGTAGTGAAGATGTACCCTGGGAATACTATACAAGAATCATGCCTACCAAAGGAATGGAATTTTGGATTCTAATATTTTAGCTTGGTTATCTTTATACATATTAATTTTTAAATAATTAAACATTATTTCTTTTCACCATATACTAAAAACAATGGCAGAATATGGGAACCAGTTAGTCATAGAGGTAAAAGGTAGAAAACGTATTAAGTTATCTAATTAATTTCCCTGGCAGTTCAGCAAAACACCAATGGATATATTTTCTAGTGCTTAGTGCAGTGCTGTTTTAAAGTACAAAACCAATGTTTCTTTCCATTTAATTGGGAGAGATTTATTTAAAAAATGGAAAACTTAATCTCTATAAAAATCTGTTATCTGAAGAGAGTTCAAATTGTTCCTCCCACCTTTTACCTTTCATCTTCCTCCAAAGATAGTCTCTGAAGCCTTTTGATCAAATATCTTGATAAAACAAAAAAAAAATGTGGAAGTGCTTGAAGGTTGATAGTTCTCAGGTTACCCAAAACTGAGAATCAGCTTGTTAACCCTGCCTTCAGTGAGAGGGAGTCTTTCTTCTGGTTCCCATTTAAGCTCTTTCCACTGGACTTGTACCAGCCCTTCCTTTACCTTGTAGGTTAACAATAGGTGCACTCCAAATCCCTTTCAATTATACCCTTCTGACACTCACAGAATTTTCAAAGCTGCAGTGTACCCCAATTTACCAGCTGTATCATGAACTACTACTTTTATAAGCCACACAAGACTTATGAGCACTTTTAATTAAACAAAACTAGGGATGTTTAAGAAAAAAATTAAAATTTTACTGGAGATGAGAGAGTGATGGAAATGGTTACAATAGGAAACAAAATCATAAATATGAACTGTGGTCTACACTTCTCAATAATTATCTTTCCAACCTAATACAATCGATGCCACCCTCCTGTCTCTGCCAATGTTTAGTCTATTGCAGAGCTGACTGTTTCCCCAGTAAACAGAATCCAAACCATTGATGAAAGCACCTCTTCTGCAAAGGATTTTCCTGAGTGAATGAATCAATAGTGTCTTTTGTTTCTAATCCTGGACAGGGTGAATGTTTGTGGTAATGTTCCGCCAGCAGTCTCAGGCGGTCTTCTCTTTCACTGCCTTACAGTGGCTGCCAGGGCAACTTGCCCATGGGCATCTGGTAGCCTAGGTGGGGGAAGGCTTTGCTGTAGGTGTTCTGGGGGCAGAGTGTTGCTGCCCCCCAGTGCCCACTCTCCCCTGTGCTCCAGCGGCCAGGCAGGCAGGAGCCATGTGGCTCCTTCCTCAGTGCTCCAGGGGTCAGGGAGGTGGAAGCCGCATGGCCTCCTCTGTCCCTGGTGCTCTGAGGATGGGGCAGGGTGTGGGCATGTGCTTGCATGCTCCTCCCCCATTTCTTCCCCTTCTCATGGTGGGGTCAGGGCCTTAGTAGAGGGGATGGCACTGTAGGTGCGGCTGGAGTCCTGCCTCCCCCAGCTGCACTGACCGCCCATGAACCTGCCCTCTACTTTAGGTTCCAGCTCAGGGCCCTCTGTACAGTAGCCAAGGTCCATTCCCTGCCTTTCCCTAAGCTAGTTCCATACCTCCTAACCTTCCCCATTCCTCTGGGCTTGCCACTTTCTTCATTCCCTCCTCCCACAGAAAGCTTTAGGCAACTCATCCCTGCAGGCATCCCCAAACGCACCTCCCTTCTCCCAGGGAGGGTCTACGCCAGTGTTTCTCAAAGTGGGCTATGGGCCTAGGAAAATTAGGTCACCTTCGTTTGTCATCTTTACTATAGACTTAGGTGCCTAACTTCAAGTTTAGAAAAATAGGGGCTAATTCGAACATCATCTGAATTCTGCCTCTGGCATATAATCAGTTAGAGCAGAGTGAGGAACCTTTTGCTGCTGACCCACAGAAAAATCAGTTAGGGGCCACACCAAACTTTCACTGATCCCGGGACTGAGAAGGAGAAAGATACTCTCCACATGCCCCTTGCACACCAGAGCCTAGGCCCCCCCTAGTAGATTTTTTTATGCTCCAGCCCCACATGGGGTGAGATTGGTGCAGCCGTGTGGGCTCCGCCATGTTGCGTGGAGAGCCCTGGGCCTTGGGGGCTGGATCCTGGCAAGCAGGGACCACTTCTGACCTCTGGGCCTTAGGCCCCCCACCCTTCAGTTAGAGAAACGTGCTGCAAGAAATTGACTCGATCCCTACAGCCCCGCACGGGTAACAACATTTGTAGCCACATCCCCATCCATATCCGCAAAAACGAGCCGCAGCTATCCGGGATCCCCATGGATTTGCAGAGCTCTGTGTGTGAGGTCCCGAGGCCCTGGCACGCGGGTATAGGGGCAGGGTGAGTTCAGGGTGTGGAAAGCTCTACGTGCATGGCAAATAAAAAAGCCAAGGAACAGGCCCGATTGCTTTCATTGGCGCTTATGCAGTTCTGCAGGAGGGAACGCAGGGGCCGTGCAGAATGCAGCGGGCGCCCGGGCCGGACGCTCGCTCCCAGCCCGGGCGGGGCGGCAGGGAGGACACCTGTCTCTTTAAGGGGCTGGGCTCCCTCGCTTTGACGTCAGGGTTTCTGCACCACAGGCTGGCATCTGCGAACCTGCGCGCCGGGGGAAAGAGGCTCGGAGAGCGGCACGCGCGAGAGGAGCCCCGCTTCCCGCCTGCAGCCGCCCCGCGCCGCCCGCTGCCATGTCCGTGGCCGGGTTCAAGAAGCAGTTCCACAAGGCCACCCAGGTACGGGAGCGGCGCCATGTCTCGGGGCGCCCCGCTACCCCCCTGCAGGCGCGGGGCAGGATACCGGGGGTGCCTGGACGCGGGGGCCGGGGGCTGATGCCGTGACCGCTCCTGGAGCTCTGCGGGCGGACCCAGTGGGGGAGGGGGGGGAGTGTGTGTGTGGGGGGGGGTCCTGGCTTGCATTGCCTCAGGGCAGTTGTGGGGTCGGAGGGGGAGCCAGGGAAGGAGCCAGTCCCCCCCACTCCTATGCTGCCTCCCCCCCCCAACTCCAGCTGATCTGCAGTCTCCAGGGACCCGGGAGTGTGTGTGTGGTGGGGGGGGGGGTTGCAGGAGCGGTGGGGCTGGGGCCCCTCCGGGTCGCTGGACGGGTCTGCAGCAGGTACCGCATCCCCGGGGAAGGAGGCGGCGCGCGCAGCGGGGCGCTGGGTCCCTCGCCGCAGCCCTGCCTGGCCGCCGCAGCTGCATTATTTAGCGAGCGGAGTCCAGGCTCGGATGGCAGCCGGCTCCCCTGCGGGTCCCGCACTGCAGGCGCCTCTGTCCTCTTGCGCCCGCAGAGCCGTTCGCAATTGAATTACTAGATCCGCTCTGCCCGCCCCTCCTCCCCCAGGACGGGGGCAGCAGAGCAGAGCAGAGCGCTTCGGGGCATTTGCCACAACTGCGCGGGGTGTGATTTTTTTTCTCTGTGAAACCTGCGGCTAGTTGTGTGGCTCTCTGTGAGATTATGTAAAGTCCTCCTCCTCCTGTGACCTTGTACCATGAGTGCTCTCTGAAATCTCCATCCTTTGAGCAGTTGCACAGTGGGTCTGAACTGCCATGGTTGGGTTTTTCTCTCTCCCCTTAGCAGAAAACAACCCTCCCAAGGGATCATCTGTGTTGGTTTCTCACTTGTTATTTAGGTGCATAGCCCTGCTCAGACCTCGAGCAGTTTTATCAACAGTGAAACTAATTTAAGCAGGCATGTGCTTGATCTTTGTATCCAGAAGTGGGCTTTGCACTAATTTAAGAATTAATTTTGTTGAGTTTCCGATGTTTCATACATTCTGGCTTAAAAATCTGGCCTTAGAAAAGAGACTTCTTACACTGCACATCCTACAATCCTGGATTTCATTTGGATTTCTTCTAGTTGTTTTTGTAAATCGCCAGTAAACAGTAGTATTCAGATCACGGCCCATATGTTGGCTAGTGATGGGGTGAGGGAATCTTGCTGCTGTAGGTATTCTACATTATTTTAGAGCAATCAGGATGAAAGTTTCACCAGATGCAAATTTATTTTTAAAAATAACTTAAAATAATACTTAAAATGCCATCTGTGGTTAAATTTTAATAATAACATTGATGGAAATCCACTGAAGTCAGTGGAGTTACTGTGCATATTACATTGTCAAGACTGACATTAAAATTAGACTCTCTTCAATTCACATAGAAAATGAGATGGAGTGTCCTCAGGGTAGAGCGTAAAACCATTGTAAATAGTCTTCAAAAGGAGGCTTGCGAAATTCAGCACGGTATAACACCTTTGGGGAATCTGTACCTTCTCCTTTTCTCATCTCATGTCCTTTTAGGTTTCTACGAAAACCGTGCCTGCTTTTTGATCGAATGGAACAACAATTTCTTAACTTCATGCAATAGAAGACTCACTCAAATTCTGGTTCTAATAGTGAATTCCTTCAAACAAACAAATGGCATTATGACTATGAATATAATGGTGCATATTGGGACCTTTATCAACAGTGGTGCATGGAGCAACACATTGCATGTTGTCATTCATATCATACTGTGCTACTGTATCATTTGCTAATTCAGACTAAATGATCAAAGTGGTCCCTTCTAGCCTTTGAATCTAGGAATGCCTACTCACAAGTGACCTGTTTTCTTACAGTTGGACTCCCAAACCCTACAGGGAACATTTTAAAACTTTGGAATTTGGGACAGTGAGGGGGTGCAAACAGATGTGGGGGAGGATGCCGCTCAGCACCCCCACTTAAAATTGTTACAGCGCCACTCCGCTGTTACTTGAACAGTTTGTTTTCTCTTGAAAACACAATTGGATTCTAAATGTGTCAGGCTGTTGCATGGACCAAATAATTTTATTTCCTATATTTTAACTGGGTCTTATTGTAAAAAACTAATATGGAATACATAGAGGTGTTGGGATGTCATAACCTGGACCACAGCAATTATGCAAATTTTGCTTGAGAAATGAAATGTTTGAGATAGTCACCAGCAAGACAACATTTCATTTGTTAATATACTCCAATTCTTGAAAACCTGTTCATATGCCATTAAGTTGAAAAGTAATTTTCTAGGCTTATTGTGTCTTTCAGTCCAGAAAAAAATCTACAGTGTTTAATTGCGCTTGTATACTTCTACCACTGAAGCTGTTATGCTCATTCATAACATTATTCCCTGTGTGTGTGTCTCTCTGGCTAACATGCACATACATAATATTTGACTATAAGCACAATAATATTTTCCTATTACAAAATATAAAGCTTTTTGGCATTTCTATAATCATATTAATTTAATTTTCTTCCATACAAAAGGAATTTATTGTACCTAATGTAATTTCAAATCACATTAATTACGTTTCTATGTTTATTTTATCCAATATCAATACTGTATTTGTTTTCTATTTTAAAAAGTAAACAGTTAAAAACAAAACAAGGCAGTCCACAGAATTTTACACACTATGTATAAGGTATTTATTGGAATAAATGTTGCAGTCTCCTTTACATGGAAGCTCTTGCAACAAGAGCAACAGTATTAGCCAATGAAAAGCAAGGGCAAATTTAGCACTTGCTAGCAAGGAGCAGTGCTTTTCTTTTTGCCATTCTGTGGAACAGTTTCTCTTCTCACAACAATTTTACTTCGGTGTCAGTTTCATAGAATCCTAGAACTGGAAGGGACCTTGAGAGGCCATCGAGTACAGTCCCCTGCCCTCATGGCAGGATCAATCACATCTAGATCATCTCCGATAGATGTCTATCTAACCTGCTCTTAAGTATCTCCAGAGATGGAGATTCCACAACCCCTCTAGGGAATTTATTCCAGTGTTTAACTTTTTCCTAATGTCCAAAATAAACCTCCCTTGCGGCAGTTTAAGCCCATTGCTTCTTGTCCTATCCTCAGAGGTCAAGGAGAACAATTTTTCTCCCTCCTCCTTGTGACACCCTTTTAGATACTTGAAAACCGCTATCATGTCCCCTCTCAGTCTTCTCCTTTCAAAAATAAGGAAGTCCAATTTTTTCACTTTTCCGTCATAGCTCATATTTTCTCCACCTTTAATCATGCTTGTTGCTCTTCTCTGGACCTTCTCCAGTTTGTCCACATCTTTCTTGAAATGTGGTGCCCAGACTAGACACAATACTCCAATTGAGGCCTAATCAGCATAGAGTAGAGCAGAAGAATGACTTCTCGTGTCTTGCTCACAACACTCCAGTTAATACATCCCAGAATCATATTTGATTGTTTTGCAACAGTATCACACTGTTGATTGATATTTAGCTTGTTGTCCACTATGACCCCTAGATCTCTTTCAGCAGTACTCTTTCCTAGACAATTACTTCCCATTCTGTATATGTGAAACGGATTGTTCCTTCCTAAGTAGAGTATTTTGCATTTGTCCTTATTAAACTTCATCCTGTTTACCTCAGACCATTTCTCCAGTACGTCCAGAACTTTGTAGGCTTCAGAGGAGTTACTCAAGATTTATACTTTTATAAATGAGAATCTTCTCTTGTATGGCATGGCTAAGTATCAATGAGCAGAAATTTATATCTAGATTTGATAGCCAGCATATTGCTACAGCAATGAGCTGGTATATGTCATTCAGGCCCCTGGCAAAAGAGCCAAGGGGACACTGAGATATGATATGCTCCATTGGTTGTGCCTGGTGATTACAGTTGCATACAAGGGTTTGCCTGATAGTCCATTGAAAGAGCATTTGTCCACATCTTCCATGAGATGTCCTCATGCAATTCAATCTGCACCAGTCTTTCTGACATAAATCAAACCTCAGTGGTTTCAAGATGATAACCTTCACGTTGTTTTTGTGTGTGTGTGCTTTGTGCAAATTCAGTAATGAACCAATGTTGGCAACTGGCCACTGGACTTTGTACAGTATTACTGACCTTCCAGTGAAAGTAGCAGTGATATAAATGAGGGTGAGTCAGGCCTTCTAAGTGAGTTTCATACAGAATTACAAAATATCTAGGCTGCTCAGCGTGAAACAGGCTATTCATTACTATTGTGCCCACATGTTACCTTTGTTCCTCAGGTGCTAGCACTAAATGTTAGCTTAGGCTATCATGTATCTGCTGTGAGTACAACGTACAACTACACAGACTGCTTCAAATATAAATTTTTCTAGGAATTTGCGATAGGCATATAAATGTCAATGTATCAGCACACACAAATCGGTCTATTCTCCCCTAGATATGCAAGCCTTGCTTAATTTTATTGGGGATTATGTTCATATTAAGGAGAGAAGAACCCTAAAGGTTTGTGTGGGTTTTCAAAATACAAGAATGTAAATTTTAGGTTTTGTCTGGCACTGATTTAGATGTAGACTCACTCGCATGTAAAAAGGGGAATTGCTTTATCTTATCCTGGCAGCATATATTGGACAGTATGGAATAAATCTTGTACCTTGAACACACCATGATGATTCAGGTTTTAGGAAAGTAATAATTCCACAGTAGGGGGAAAAAATACTGGAAGGGAGTCATTTAATGAAAATGAGTGACATTTAAATGGACAGAGTGAAGGGAGTTTCCTTAGTCTAACACACATCTTATTTTAAACTCAGCAACTTCCCTTTAAGAGGGAAATATGTGTGTTTAGTTGTAAATGTAGACATTGAAGTAGGTACTGTGAAAAAACATGGTCATTACTTGAAAAAAAATGCTTCCACTTTGACTGTGTCATACATGTTGCCACTCTGCCTATAGCTCTCAAGACCTTGTTATGAAGTAGACCTTTTGGATAGTAAGTACAATATT